GTTCTACTTTATATGTGGGGTGCCTGCCACAGCATGGCTTGATAAGCTGTGTGTAGGTCCAGGCTGGGATCTGAACTTGCGAATCCCGTGCTGCTGGAGCGGAGTGCGCGAACTTAACCACTATACCACTGGGCCAGCCCCTATTCTGGACACTTTATATAAATGGAATTATACAATATGTGGTATTTTGTAATTGACTTCTCTCAGCATAATGTTTACTGTTTATCTAAGTTGTTTGTGAATTTCCCAGATTTCTTCCTGTTTTGATATCTAATTCCATTCCATTGTGGTTGGAGAACTACTTTGTGTGATTTAATGTTTTCAAATTCGTTGAGACTTTTTATGGCCTAGCATGTGTTCTGTCCTAGAGGATGTTCTGTACACTTAAGGATATGCATTCTGCTGTTGTTGGGTACAGTGTTCTATAGATATTTCTTAGGTCTAGTTGGTTTATAGTGTTGTTCAAGTCTTCTATTCCCTTATTGTTCTTCTGCCTTCAGTATAGAGTTTTTGGTTGACATTTTATTTTCTTTTAGTACTTTGAAATTTTCATCCCACTATTTTATGACATGTATTATTCCTGATGAGAAGTCAACTGTTAACCTTATTGGAGTTCCCTTGTACGTAATGAGTCATTTTTCTCTTGCTGTCAAGATTTCCTCTTTGTCCTTGACTTTTAGCATTTTTACTAATATGTCTATGTGTATTTCTCTTTACATTTATCCTACTTCACATTTGTTGAGTTTCTTTGATGTATAGTTTAAGATTTTTTCTGTCTGTTTTTTTTAAATCAAATTTGGGAAATTTTCAGCTATTATTTCTTCTTATGTTTTGTCTCCTTTCTTTCCTCACCTTCTGATATGCCCATTACAGGGTGTCCTTAATGGTGTACTGCATATCTTTAAGGCTCTGTTAGTTTTTTTCATTCTTTTTTCTCTGTATTCTTCTGAGTACATAATCCCTCTTGATATCTCAAGTTCGCTGATTCTTTCTTCCGCCAGTTCAGATCTACTTTTGAGCCCCTCTAGTGAATTCTTCATTTCATTTACTGTAGTTTTCAGATCCAGAATGCCCATTTGATTCTTTTTTATAATAATTTCTGTCTCTCCATGAATATTCTCTATTTGACGAGATATTGTCACCATACATGCCTTATAATGGCTGCTTTGAAGTTTTTGTTAAATTTGACACCTGGGCCCTCTGAAAGGTAGTTTCTGCTGTCTGCTTTTTTTCTTATATGGATCACACAATCCTCTTTCTTTGAATGTCTTGCAATTTTTTTTATTAGAAACTGGACATTTTAAATAACATATTGTAGCAACTCTGGATACTAATCCCCCCCCCCACCCACAGGGATGGGGGCTTGTTGTTCTTTGCTTATTTGTTTAGTGTCTTGATGAACTATTTTAGCGAAATCTATTTCCCCTGTAGTGTGAACCTCTGATAGCACTCTCATAGGGTGAAGCCTTGGGTGTAATAACACAATTATTATGGGCACAGTATTGGGCACAATAACCCTGGTTTTATCAGGAGTCCTATGCCTTTTCCCCTGATTTCTTTGTTAAACTGTTTGCCTGTGTTGGTATCACACCCAGCTCTTAGTCTCTACTGACTGCTGGTTGATTGCTCTGTTATTTTTGACAATGTCCTGGGATATAAGTTGTTCCACAGTGTGATTCAGTTGAATTTGGGCCCCTTTGCTGGGGTAGTTTTTGAGGTGAGTCTTTGAGGTTTTTTGTGACCCCAGGGGAGCTATTCTTAGCTATCTCTTTCTCTGGTTCTCTCTGGTAAACTATCAGCCTTATGATTTAGTTCATTGCTCTCATGAAGCTACCAGCCTCCTCTTAATTGTTTGCCATCAAAAATCTTTATTGTTTTTGAGAACTTGAACTTCCTCACATACAAATTCAAATAAAGTCAGTTCCTTTGGGGAGAGCTGTCTGTTCTTATGGCCTGACTCTTCCTCTGGGAAAAATCTCTGAGCCACAGCTCCAGAGCTAGGGTGGTGACAGTGGCCTGCTACTCTCAGAGTGAGACTCCTGCTTTATGAACAGGGCACTGGTGTAGGCAGTAGCCTTGATGTCAGCTTGTTTCTCCTGGTGTGCTAACTCCAAACCATTGCAAGCTGAGGTGAGGGTGATCAGGACCCCAGTGTTATAGGTATGCTGTTCCTGAGGCAGAGCCTCTGCTCTATGAGTGGAGTCTGGTGGAGCAAAGGAGCTCCCGACTTCTCAGCTGCACTTTCCTGGAGTTTAGTTGCTGCATGGCAGGTAGAGGGAGGAAGGGGATGATAAATGCTGACAGTGCTCCCCTCCTTAGGAGATACCACAGCCCTCAACTAGAAGCAGGGGGCAGAGAGAGCCCTGTGTTCTTGGCTGCACTCAAGTGAGGTGGAAGTTCTGTCATGCTGAGCTGGGAGAAGGGATGGTAGGGACAAGTTGTACTTCAAATGCCGAAGACTCTTGCCATTCTTACCAAGTTTTAGTAGATCTTTCTTGAATAAATGTTTCTTTATTTGCTGTTTGACTTTAAGGTGATTTCTGGAGACTTTGAAGGATTGTTATTTTTATCAATTATGTTTGTTTTGCTGGGGAGTTGATCTGCAGAGGTCTTCACGCCACCATTCTGAAAGTGACCACTAGTGGTTATGTTTTAAAGGCTTGCATAAGATAGGGCTTTGAAATTAATTCTTTATTGAGTTACTCAGGTGCCATTTAATATTATTTACACACGTGGTTAAAAAGATTTTCTTTTCTACTTTATACCTCACAAAGTCACAGTAGAATATAGTCTTCATCTTTGGATGAATTTGAATATAAGCCCAACACTTAGAAGAACTGAGTTCTAATTCAATCCCTTTTGCATATTAATAGTGAGATCTCCAGCAGTTTATTTAACCATGCTGAACTTATTTGCTCATCCAAAATATTGAGATAATAGTAGCTGTTTGTAAGTTAAATTAGATAATATGTGTGAAAGCAATTTGTAAACTAAAAACTTAAAGTGGAGAGTATTGTTGTTACTGGTTTAAATCAAATCTGGAGTGAAGTGCCTCTTTTCTGATTTTATTCTCATCTAAGAATATTAAGTATAAAATTTATCTTGAAGAGTCATTTTTATAGTTTACATAATTTTTAAATCCTTCATATTATCATTAATAAATATTCTTATAAAATCAGCTAGGATATCACCTAGTAAATGATAAACTTAGATAAGTTTATTGTGGAATTACAATAGTAGAAAGGAAAACAACGTTTTTAGTGTATGTCTAGTAGTATTATAATTTCTTATATCTACTCATTTATTTTGCTCTTTCTGATGATTCTTTGTGGAGCCGAATAAAGGCTCTTTTTCATATGTGAAAAAGATTAAACAACCATTAATTTTCATAGTATCATAGAATCTAGATTTGGAAAGTGATCTTAGAGTTGGTTAAGTCTAGTAGGAACTTTCCCCTCAGGGCCCCTGTCAAATTCTTATCCAGCCTCTGCATGAACAAGTCATGGGCAGTGAATTATGTTGCTGCGAATCCATGTCGCAGTACCCTTGGATTCCATTTTCGCTCTGCTTTAATTGTTAGGGTGTTTATCCTTCAGAAAGCATGTTGTATCATGCATTTCATTTATTCTTTACTGCAATCTTTTGATCCAAGTGTTGCCACATTTTGCATGTGAGGAAACTGAAGATCAAAAAGAATAAATGGTTTACTCCAAGTTATGTGACCAGTATGGATTAAAAACCAAATTCACGATTTTGAAATCATTTGTTTCAAAGACATGAACATCTGCTACCTACTAGGTGCTGCATGTTAAAGACTCAAAGTTTAAAAAAAAATCCCTAATCTTTCAACTCAAAGTGTTTATGGTTTAGGAGGGAAGAAAGATTTATAAAGCTGCAGTTACTGTATAGATTGGTATGTCCCAGAATAGATGTTTGTGTTTTGTAGAACAAAAAGACAGATCTAGATTAGTCAAGGGAACCCTCTTGGAAGAGGAAAGTTTGAGATGAATGTCATTTTAAATGACAAAGTTGGCGATAAAGTTGGCTGGTGTGATTTCTAAGATAGTCGCAGCTGCCACTTATGTATTTATTATATCTGAATCCAAATCTTCCTCCGTTAATTTTTACCGTCTCAGTTCTGCATTCTCGACTAATACAAAATAAGTTAAATCCCTCTTCCATGTGAAAGCTCTTGAACTATTGAAAACCTCTGTCTCATTCTAAGTCTTTTCTCTGGTTTTTTCTTCAGCTATTACATACTGTTTCTTAACACAGAAATATTGTTGAAAGATGTTGGGAAAAATTGTTAATTGGATTAAACTGAAGCAATTACCGCCATAGTTCCTTCTCTCTGGTCAAAGTCTGTTGTTTTGTTGTTGTTGTATTCATGTTTCTTAGTTTGTTTTTCCTGAAGAATTAATTTTTACTATGCATTGTCTGACAACTTAGTTGAAAATGTGAGAGGAATTACTCCAATCATATTTTGTCCAGTATAACGCTATTAATGTAAGCTGAGATAACTGTTTGAGGAGCCAGGTCACATTTTGGACATGCTTTTAGCTTTTTGTCAATTCATGTCCTTAAGAGTTTTTCTTAATTATTTGATTTTTTTCTAAAAGTACTTTGATCCTTCTCACTTTATCTGTATGAATTTTTGTTGTATTAGGATTTTCCCACACTGGACTCTTTTTTTTTTTACCCAAATACAGAATTTCTCACTTACTTTTCTTTAACACCATCTTGATAATTTTGAGTCATTTTTCTAATTTGTTTAGATCACATGTAGTCTTATTTTTCCGTCGTGTATCATAAGTTTTCTCTCCTAGCTAAGCCTTTGTTTGGCAGGGGGTGGGGGGGCGTGGGGGTGTGTGGAGGGTGGGGGTATAGTGTGTGTGTGATGTGTGTGTGTGGCACTGGTGGAATATTAAAATAAAATTTTGATTTTTTTTTACATGCCAACATATTTACGTATGTTTATACATTGTTTACACTGTTTTCAGAGTATCCTGGCTTTAAATCCTCGAACACAAACTCATGCAATTCTGCGTTCCACTTCGGCCAAGAAATTAGACAAGAAACATTGGAAAAGAAATCCTGATAAGAACTGCTTTGTAAGTACTGCTGCTACATGATTTCATGCTGAAAATTATCTCATTCTACACATTGTAAGACAAGATTTTACATATGCTTTGAAATACAATTAAATATGCATAACATACAGCTGTGATTTTTTCCTATTTTAAATATTTTATATTTGAATAATCTCGAAAGTGTGTTTAATTTTACTGCTTTAAAAAAATCTAGGGCTGGCCCCGTGGCTTAGCGGTTAAGTGCGTGCGCTGCGATGCAGGCTGCCCGGGTTCGGATCCTGGGCGCACACAGACGCACTGCTTCTCCGGCCATGCTGAGGCCGCGTCCCACATACAACAACTAGAAGAATGTGCAACTATGACTTACAACTATCGCTTGGGGCTTTAGGGGAAAAATAAATAAATTAAAAAAAAAAAAAAAAAGGGCCGGCCCTGTGGCTTGGTGGTTAAGTGCGCGCGCTGCGATGCTGGTGGCCCGGGTTCGGATCCCGGGTGTGCATCGAGGCACCACTTCTCCGTCCATCCTGAGGCCGAGTCCCACATACAGCAACTAGAAGGATGTGCAGCTATGACATACAACTATCTACTGGGGCTTTGGGGGGAAAAAATAAAATAAATAAAATCTTTAAAAAAAAAAAAAAAAATCTATTAAAACGCTTAAAAATCATGTAAATTTAGGTTGGTGCCAGCATTTTTCTTAAAACTCTATAAAATTTACCTTAAAATTGTTTATGTAATGACACAATGATACAGAAGAGTTTCCATATTACAGATATAATTCAACTGAAGAAGGGTACGCTGGTATATACAAACTGTTTGAAAATATGCTTTGGGGGAACATATGAACATTAGATGTTTAGTGTGAACATCTAGTATTTCCAGGTGAGGTGCAGAAGCAAAATAGTGTTTCTCTGGGATTACTAATTGCGAGAACCTTATTTAACTGGGCCTATGAGGTGATTACAGAGCTACGACTGCGAGGCCATAAATGGGGATGGGGATTAAGTAAGTAGAACCTTGAAGGCAATATTTAAAATGCCATTTTAGGGGATAGAAATCTTTAACTTTGGAAAGCAATTTCCTTTTTTTCCTGATTTTTCAAAATTAATTTCCACGAATTAATTTTCTCGAATTAATTAATGAGACAATTAATAGTATTAGCTTATTTAACATTAGCTCTTTTGGTGCTTTGTATATACTGTCTAATATAATGATTTTAGTTTATTTTTATGTACTTCTTTGTTTCTTCCTACATATGAACTCTTTGAGGATGGGAATTGAGGGTTTGTGTGCATGTGCATATGTGTTTATCTGATTTTTTATTTTTCTGTCACTGGCCACTCAGCAGTTTTTTGAATGAAAAAAAGAAATAGAAATACAGAGAGAAATACAGAGAAACAATATGACTTGAGATGATCACACAGCCACTGAATAGCACACCTGGATTTGGAATTCAGTTTTCCTTGCTCCAGTTTTGTGAGGTTTGCATTCTACCATGACATTTCTAGTAGAGGTCTCTAGAAGGACATCGATGTGGTCCAAATTAGATCAAGGAATAGACCGACTATAAGGCATGACCCTGTATAATGATGTGAACAATTGAAGGGCAATGAAAAAAGAATCATGTAATTTTCGAAGTTAGAAAGCCTTTAAAGATTATCACGTCTAAATTTCTCATTTTAAAGGTGTAAGAACTATGATCCAGATAAATTAGATGACTTCTCTAAGGTCTCACTTATAGATTATTAAACTATTGATGGTCAGAATTTTACTTAGAAAGAGACTTTTTCTATTGTGATTGTTGTTATTATTATTTTATGGAAATTAGCATTTTTATTCCAGAATGATATCCTGTAAATTGAGTCTTATTTTATCATATTTTTTATAATTGCAAAGATGCAGTGAAATGGGCTCTCTCCGTTAAATATATATTGGCACAAATTCCTAGGAAAGCAATTTGACAATATCTTTGACAATATTCATTAACATCTGTGTTAGTTTGCTAGGGCTACCATAACCAAGTCCACAGACTGGTTGACCTAAAGAACAGAAATTTATTTTCCCACAGTTCTGGAGGCTAGGAGTTTGAGATCGAGGTGTCAGCAGGGTCAGTTTCTTCTGAGCCTCTCTCTTGGCTTGTAGATGGCTGTCATTTCCCTGTGTCTTCACATTGTCTTCCCTTTGTATGTGCCTGTGTCTGAATTTTCTCTTCTTGTAATGATACCAATCATAGTGGATTAGGGCCCACCCTAATGACCTCATTTTAACTTAATTATCTCTTTAAAGACTATCTCCAAATACAATTATATTCTGAGGTACTGGGGGTTAGGACTTCAACATATGAATTTTGGGAGGATTCAGTTTAGCCCATAATAATGCCTTTAAATTGTCAAACACTTACACCCAGTAAGTCATCTTCTAGTAAATTATCCTTAGGAAAGAATTAGTAATGTACATGAAGAATTCAGTAGAAAGTGGATTATCCCAACATTATTTATTTGGTAGAGAAAAATGAGAGGGAAGATCCACTGAATAACAACCACTGGGTTGTGGTTAAGTAAATTAGGGCATATTCATTTGGTGGTAAATTGTGCAACTGTTAAAATTATTTTTGAAATAATAATCTGGAAAAATACTCATGATCTATACATGGGAAAGGCATTACATATCACTATATTTAAGAATGTGTGCACTTATCCACAGCCACACATATCCACAACGAAAAAAGAAAATATAACTAAATGTTAATAGTGATTATCTTTGTTTCCTTGGCACTTTTGTACATTTCGAGTTTTCTATAAAGAACAGTGTTAGTGGAAAAATGAAATGAAAGCTTTAAATATATGTTAAAATAATCTCAATTTATTAGATCATATTTATATCTCTGGATGTATACCATTTTGAAAACTATATGACACACCTGGATTAACAAAGAGCAGTGACGTTCATTTGAAAAAGGGAAATAAGGAGCTAGGGTTGAAAGTTATCCTCAGTGCAGTTAAAGGATGCGGTCCTTTTCCTTTTTATTATTTTCTTCTTTGTGCTGGTATGATGAATTGAATAAAAGTTTTGCCAAAAGATATGATTTATTTTTTAAAATTTATAAATTTTCATACTTGTGTTTTATAATCACTCATCTAAATTAAAAAGCCCTATACATAAGACAAATATAAGAAGACTCTGAAAGATGGAGAGAAGGGCAACCAGCTAGGGATATGGAACCTGAAGACCCGTAAGTGGTGAGTTCTCTGGGTTTTCTTTTTTCATCATATATTCCAGCCTTGGAGCTGAAGAAGTTGGAAACCCAGAAAGGCCAATCAGCACACACACACGCAAAAGCTGCAACAAAAATCTATTCTCTCTAATCAAAAGACTGGAAAGTGACAGCCTAGCAAGACAGAAGACTTTTAGACAATAACTGCTCTCCTCTAGCCAAACACACACACACACGAAATTGTGACCCCATCCCTATGCATTTCATAAAGGCTGAGTGGGGAGCCTAGACTTACACCCTGGGGTGAGATAATGAGATGCCCCAATACCCCTACTGGGTGAAAGAGTAGGGAGTCAGGACTTTCACCCCCACTAGCTAGCCAGTAACCAAGCCAGCCTGTGCCCTCACCCATACGCCGTGCTGTCAGTGGAGAGACCACTGGACTTTCACCCTGATCCAAAAGAAGAGAAGAAAGAGGGTGGAGCTCAAAAATACTCAAAATAGAAATAATGGCTAAAAACTTCCCAAATTTGACAAGAGACATAAACCTACGGATTCAAAAACCTGAGTGACAGCCAAAGAGATCCACAGCAAGACATCATAATTAAACTTCTAAAAACTAAAGGCAAAGCCATTATCTTAAAAGAAGCCCACCCACTCGCCTCAAAGTAGGGACGACTCTTATGGGCGTTTGATTCTGGCTAAGACTAGACAGTACCATTGACTGGATCCTTGCTCAGCATTTCCTTCCTCTTTACCCTGCTTCACCCCTCCTGTACTGGTTTTTCCTGAAGAGCGCTCACACCATAATCACGTGCACCAGAATCCTTGTCTCACATTTTGCTTTTAGGGAAAATGAACTTTAAATTATTAAACAAAGAGCCAAATCTTGGCCTGTATCAACAGCTCTTGGTACAGCCACTCACTCTTTCCTTCCTGAAATATATTTTTCACTTGGCTTCCGGGACACCAAACTCCATGGTTTTCTTTTCTCCTCATTGGTGTTTCCTTCTTGGCTTCTTTGTTGGTTATTCCTCATCTTTTTACCCCTAAATATTAGAGTGCCCAGCTGATCTCATTGGTGATCTCATTCCATCTCCTCGCTTTAAATACCGTCTACAGACAGATGACTCCTGTATCTATATCTCTAGCCTGGAACACTTTCTTAAATTCTAGACCTCTATAACCAAGTGCCTCCTGAATACCTCCACTTAGATGTCTAATAGGCATCTCAAACGTAACATGTAGAAAATCCAAATTATGATCTTATCTCCAAAACCTGTTCTTCCTGGAGTCATCTCCATCCATTCTTTCATTTAGAGAGAAATATTAGAGTCCACAATTTCCTTTTTTCTCTCACTTCCCATAACTAATTAGAAAATCCTTTGACTATGCCTTCAGATATACCCAGAATCTGATCACCTCTCACCACCTCCACCACCGCCAACCTTTCTAAGCCACCACCATCATCTCTCACCTGAATTGCTTCAATAGCTTTGAAGTGGATTTCCATGCTTATGCCCTTTCCTGGTAGAGTCTCTTCTTGATAATATATCTAAGTAATCCTTTTAAAATTCCTGTGCTCGGAATCTGTGAGTGGTATTCCAGCTTACTCACAGTTTGCACAGTGTCCTCTGTACAGTTGTCACCTCAGCAAGGCCTTCTCTGGCCACCCTGTTTAAAACTCTAACCTGCCCCCCTACCTAGCTCTCCTTAGACTTCTCTGCTTGATTTTTCTTCATAGCACTCATCACTGATAATACTGTTTTTCACTCGCTAATTTGTGTATTGTCTGTCTTTTTCCACT